TTGAATTTGGTTTGCATTTTGCATCTTTAACATAAAATATATTGTGCTGAGCCATGAAGCGTATGCTGTGATTGTGAGTTAATGGGCTTGAGCACCAGTATTTCCTGTTAAAACTCCTCGCAAATGCTCATTTCTTGCTCAGGCATGGATGATATCACTCATTAGAAGAGTACAACTTGCTTGCAGGTGTCTGGAATGCCTGCTCTTATTGGCTGTATAGATGGATCGTATGTCAAGATACAGTGCCCAGCCAACAAGGTTGCCTCCACATACTGCAACAGGCACCATTACCTTTCACTAACGCTGCAAGCCGTCTGTGACCACAAGAGGCGCTTCCTCGATGCGTTCACTGGAACCTCCAGCAAAATGCACGATTCTCATGTGTTTAGCTTATCGCCTCTTTCGAAGAACATAGCTTCAGTATGTCAGGGCCATCATCATATATTAGGGGACGCAGCATATCCGCTGCGGGAGTACCTGTTGACACCATACAGGGATTACGGTGCAATGATTAAGCAACAAAAAGGCTTCCATTTTACGTTTTCAGGCACACGAGTGCTCATTGAAAATGCATTCAGCACACTCAAGAAGCGCTTCAGGCAGCTCATGTACCTGTAGTTGCCCACTATTCACTGGCTCAATAAGTTTATCATAAGCTGCTGTATCCTTCATAACTTGTGCATCGATTACGGTGATAAAGAGCCAGATGATGATAATGATGATGATGGAGCACCCAATGCTATTCAGTGGGAGAACTGCACTGATAACCACAGTGATAAAACTGATGAGGAGCGAGCTTTGCAGAAGCTTGGCGAAATTAAGTGTGCAAAGGTCTTGACTAAGCTCCTGCGAAGTGATTGTGGGAAATAACACCATAATTCTCTGTTTTCTCTGAACTATCCTTTTAGTTCCCCACAGTAGTTGGGAGGCTGTGTGTGTGCACCAATGCGCAGCCCCCTTTATATACACAAACACATGTTTTGCACTGTACATTTTATTTCAACATGCTAATTGTATTTTAGGCCACTGAAATCATTCATTGTCTAAGCCAAGAAAGCGGCTCAAAAGCTTCATTTTTTCTTCATGCTTTTTTGCTTTTTCTTGCCGAATGCGCCCCTTCTGTTCTTGCCTCTCTTCATGACGCTTCCTTCTTTCATTTTCGCGTTCAGTTCGTTTTTTTTTTTTCTTCCTGGATTTCAGTCATTTCGTCAAAGAAGTGATTAATTTCCAGCATTCTAGAAGCAGAGAATTTCAGCTTTTTGGGCTCAGGTTTCTTCGTTGCGCTGGTCAACTCCTGGCTAGTTGAACCTTGACTTGTCAGCTCCTGGCTCCTCGATGCTTGGCTTGTCAGCTCCTAGCTCCTCGATGCTTGGCTTGTCGACGATCGGCTCGTCGACGCTTGGCTGGGTGGTCTTTTATTAGAAACTATTCCAGAGCTGTCCCTGAGCTCTTCTGGCTCAAGGCTATCATCTAGCCAACGTATTTTGGCTATGTCGTCTTCAAAGGGAACGTCGCAAGGAGAATTCCCCGATTTGTTGTTATGTGCTGCAGCGCTTCTTTTTCGTCGCATGACTGTTTTGTAGCGGCTGCAGCACTGGTCCCCTGTTTTAGGGACCCCGACAGCCTCTGTGATGTTGGCCGCTATTTCCGCAAACATTGCCTTTTTATTTTTAAATTTCTTCATTGGCCCTATTTGGGGAAAATACTGCTGGTAGTAGTCGAGCAACAGCTTTGTTTCTCCCGCCGTCCACTCACAGCCTGTACCTGAAAAGAAAAAGTGCTTGAGACATTTGTACAGACGTTACCAGTTGCACGTCATCCGACAAAGGTGTTAGAGAGTTGTGGTATTCTGCTGTGTTGGTATTAATTGTAGAGCTTATAGGCATATATAAGCACCAACCTGTTTTAGTTTGCCTTGATATCAATTTTTCTACTTTGATTTTTGTCGTTACAGTGCTTGGTGTTCTTCGCACTGATCTAACTGTATATATCATGTATAATTCATTACTTGAATGCATTTGTATCCTCTCCTGCTAGGGCTTCTAAATGGGCCTGCAGTATTCTCTAAATAAATAAATAAATTGACTCACTGCGTTGCTCGCTCTTTTGACTGTGTTTCGGCACTGTGAATGGAAAAACGAAATGCATTGTTATTCATACAGCTGGCATACATGAAGCGACATAACGACCAACGATTTGTATTTTGTGACACAAACTGCTGTACATTGAAGCACCATGTGAATTTCATGCAACTATGTATGCAATTAAGCTAAGCCATGTGAGGCTTCCTAACACAGCTTCACAAAACAGTATCTCTATGTTTGCTATGCTATCTCATCACGACACAAAATTTTGAATAACAATTTCCCGTAAGCATACATTGTGGCATGCAAGTTCTTCAACAGTAGCTCAACACATTGTGCACATTCTTGATTGAATTACACACTCTCATCATGATGCACAGAGTTTCTGATCAGCTGACTGTTAATCAAAATGAAGCACGATCTTTCAGGCCTGAAACAGGCAGTGACACTCCAGGAAAAGCAACTTAATTTCTGTGGACTGAGACCGATTCCTAATTTGGATGTGCTCAATGTCCTGACCTTGGTAACATTGCCAACCAATTAGATAGCAGCGCATGCACTCACGCTGCTACCTATGCAGCTAAAATTTCCTGGGAGTCAAACTCTCGGGTGCGTAACACTGGCTTATAGTTTCTTCGAGACATATAAAGGCAGACAACTGCTTCTGCGCCGCTTCCACTGAAAGGCGAGTGCACTGGAACTTGCCACGTAGTAGTGCAGTACTGAAACGCTCGCGCTGCGTTGTGCTTGTACGGTAAAAGCGTTACTTTGGAGGTATCTCGCCGCAAATGCGTACCTGCCAACCTAGGGACTTCTGAAATTGAGAGACTCGCCGCGGGAGCGGAGTAGGGGGCAGAAAAAATTGTTTTGGACGATCGGTCAAATTGCCCTTATACCAAACACGCTTGTCACCAACGTGGTTCGTTTCTATTCGTGTGGCTACATTCTAAAGGGATAGGAAGTCGGTCCTTACTAATGACGCCGTTCCGTGCAAGAACAGTGGCGTCGCGCGCACGTTTACTTTTGGCTGTATATCTACAGCGGTGTTTGTGCAATCAATGCGGCGAAGGTTTTCGTTCTCCACGGACACAGGCAAACGAAGAACGGTATGACGCATTTGATGCGTTTCAGTGACACGATCGCATCAGCAGTAAAGCAACGTTGCAACATGAACAAAGCGCGTGCAGACAAACGCTCCACGCAACACGTGTGTTGCATTCAACTTACAATTACAGCACAGTGATGAAATTGAGGAGACACTTACCATGTTGCTCCGCATACTGTGTGATCACCATCGCAGACATCGTGGACAATAGCTGCTGCACGCTTGGCGTGATATCCTTTCCACACAGTTGAATAGCGCTGAACAAGCAAACGAACGATGCGGCGATGCTGGTAAGCCACCTTGGAAACAGACAGCGGAAGAGACCGCGCGCAAGGTATCCTGGCTAACGCGGCAGCTTCCGCTTGGCTCCAGCAGGCGGGTTGTGTTCCGATGGCGGATTTGGAGGATTTGCTCTACGCCAGAGTCGAGTGCTCGCTCGCGAAGTCGGTCGGCTGCACCGACTCCGCCATTGGAATTCAACATCAGTAAAAACTTGTGAAAGCCTATAAATGCGAACATTCACATCAACCTCACTCCGTTCAACCGGATCTTAGGATGCCCGGCAACTGCTACGAGCGTGCATGCTTCGCATGTTTTTTTTTTTCCTTTGTTTTTTTTTAAGCGACACTAGCGTTGAGTTTCAGGGGCCTGCTAAAGACAAGATAGCGCAGACTTGCGCAGATACTGATAAATAAATACGCTAACGGCGTCATTCTTCACACTGAAACCTTCATTGACGTGGTCTATGAAAGCAAAGCGTTTGATTCGGCCTATTTGCTTACAATTATTTAAGTATGTACGAAGGCAATGCGAGGATGACAAAATATAGCACCGCGTAGTACTTCAAGGTATATCAAGGTATATTTTTCAAAGCTCTTGACATGTGTACTGCTCATTCTACGTCTGTCTCATTTGTTTTGTTTTGGTTTTTCGATGAAAACGTCTTTCTTATTAGCCGACCACCACAAATGCGCCCCTTTCACTTATGTGACCTTATGTGCTCAATGTCAGTTTCGATTATGTTTAATAACAATAAATAAAAAAACAAGCTCGACGCTTGGAGCTGCATGTATTGCTTTATCTGAACAAATGCACGGTGAACTTTCATGGCTTACAGCTCGAAGAGTTGCCGCTATCTGTTATTAGTTATTGAGTGCGCTATCCATTTTCAAGTCAGCGCTTACGGTTGCCTGTAGCAAGTGGTTTCCAATGACGGGAATGATTATCAGCGTGGATCTTAGCCCTGTAATGCCCGATGCGTAATCTATGCTGATCTATCTAGTTAGCTCATAATTCAAAGGCACACATGGGTAACGTATTGCATATATTCTTTGCAGTAGCAGTTTTCATAAATCAGATAGTTTCGCCCTTTTAGACGCTTTCGCAAAAGTTAATAATTAGTGCAGTATTGATGTTGTAAGTCAGACCACGTTTATGATTTTTTTGTGATCGTATTCTCTCAGTGATAATAAAAAAGGGGAAACAATTTGCTTTGATGCGCAATCCCGTTTGGGGCATTACAGGGTGTAGCGATGATTGATATGTGGGGTTTAACGTCCCAAAACCACTATGTGATTATGAGAGACGCCGTAGTGGAGGACTCCGGAAATTTAGACCACCTGGGGTTCTTTAACGTGCACCCAAATCTGAGCACACGGGCCTACAACATTTCCGCCTCCATCGGAAATGCAGCCGCCGCCGCCAGGATTCGAACCCGCGCCCTGCGGGTCAGCAGCCGAGTACCTTAGCCACTAGACCACTGCGGCGGGGCAGGGGTGTAGCGATGTTAAGGTAAAAAAACGAGGTCTACAGTTTCCGGATGGCATAGGGGTGCCTCCGCACGTAAAGTTGCCACCACCTTCAGGATAATGGGTGCCTCAATAAACGCTCCGTGTCCGCTGGTCGTATCATCATCCGAACGCTGGGGTAGGAGTGATAGTGAAGGGGCACTGGTGATCCTCGCAGGCTCCACTCGATTCCGTCGGCGAAGCTCTGGTGCGGCCCGTTCAGGTTGAGTCCGTTCAAGTTGGCCGAGTGGCAACTGTTGTACCACCAGGCACCCCGGAAAGTGGCGGCGCAGTTCTGGGGCCACATGTCGTTGTCGCGGTCGAACGTGGAGAAGTTGTGTCCGTTAGATACAGCCATCGAGTCCCAACCTGCGTGAGCAATAATCGGGAAAATCAGCTTTCTAGAAGATTTGAAAGGCGGGCCAGTTGGTATAGGTTCATTATGAAAGTTTGGTGTACCGCAAACAAACGAGAACGGGACAAAGGACACCAACAAGCGCAGACTGCAACTTGGGTTTAATCGTAGCAGAAGTATGTACAGAATAAAACGACGAGGCAAAGAGATTACATGGGCAAGGAACAGAGGTTGATCCTTCCTCGAGTAACCTTTGTCTTCCTCGTGTCACGCAGTTTATTCACGTACAGACCTACTGGAAGGCCGAGGAACGCCAGAAGAGCAAGGAACGCCAACAGGCCGAAAATACAAAACAAACGCAAGCTCGGGTCGCGCGTGCACCAACGCTGTGGCTTGCCGTTTCATGCTGCTTCTTCGTCGTTCGCATAGTTCCCTACATTGGCCCCCGGTGAATAGCGTAGCCAACCTGGCGACTTAAGGCGTAGTCACTATAGCGGGGTCGTAATACGGCTTCAGGCGACTCACATGCACAATTTCTCGGCCACGACGGCGTAAGTCATGAGACTGTGTTAATGGCTCAATCTCATAATTGACGGGTGACGTACGGGCGAGAATGCGGTAGGGCCCGTGGTATCGTGCCAGTAATTTCGACGAAAGGCCAGGAGTGCTCGGTGGAACCCAGAGCCAAACGAGAGCACCAGTCGTGAAAGTAGAGAGATGTCGGCCGGTGTCAAGCCGTAGCTTCTGGTGGCCTTGGTCCTCGGTTGTCAGAGAACGGGCCAATCGTCTGCAATCTTCTGCGTACCTGGCAACATCAGAAATTGCAGTGTACTCAGAGGAGTCGGGCGTGTATGGGAGGATAGTGTCTAGCGTGCACGATGGTTCGCGTCCGTACAACAGAAAGAAAGGGGAGAATCCTGTTGTCGCGTGCGTAGCGGTGTTATACGCATACGTGACGAATGGAAGGACAGTGTCCCAATTAGTCTGGTCTGAAGCTGTGTACATCGTCAACATATCACCGAGAGTGCGATTAAATCGTTCTGTGAGGCCATTCGTCTGCGGATGATATGCTGTCGTCAGGCGATGAACCATGTTGCACTGAGCGAGCAACGCTTGAATGGCGTCAGACAAGAAAACACGCCCCCGGTCACTCAAAAGTTCGCGGGGAGCACCATGGCGAAGAACAAAGTTGCGCAAGATGAAAAACGCAACTTCCCTCGCGGTTGCTGCGGGTAGTGCTGCTGTCTCCGCGTAACGCGTGAGGTGGTCCACGCCGACAATTATCCACCTATTTCCAGAAGACGACGTGGGAAGTGGTCCGTATAAGTCAATACCAACGCGGTCAAACGGACGCGCTGGACAAGGCAGAGGCTGAAGTGTACCGGCAGGGCGTTGAGGTGGGACTTTACGTTGCTGGCATGCAGTACAAGCACGTACGTACTTGCGGACAAATGTGTACATGCCGCGCCAGTAGTACCGCTGACGTAGACGGTTGTACGTTTTGAGAGCGCCAGCGTGAGCGCTTTGCGGGTCGTTGTGGAAAGCAGTACAGATTTCCGACCGCATGTGGTTGGGTATCACTAACAGCCACTTCCTACCTTCAGACGTGTAATTCCGCCGATAGAGTAGGTCGTCTCGAATAGCGAAATGTGTGGCTTGACGGCGGATAGTTCTTGACACTAAATTAGCTAACGGATCAGTCAAAAAGGCGAGGAGTTGGGAAATCCACACATCTTTGCGTTGTTCCGATGCCATGTCTGTGAAGTCGATTGGTGTTATGACAGCTGAAGAAGGTGACGAGGAGGCTGGGTCAGCCGGTAGCGGCGAGCGGGATAGCGCATCAGCGTCGGAGTGCTTGCGGCCGGATCGGTATACAACACGAATGTCGTATTCCTGTAGGCGAAGCGCCCAACGACCAAGGCGCCCCGACGGGTCTTTGAGCGATGATAGCCAGCATAGAGCGTGGTGGTCCGTAACGACTTCGAAAGGGCGGCCATAAAGGTATGGGCGGAACTTCGTCAAAGCCCAGACAATTGCGAGGCACTCTTTCTCCGTGACGGAATAATTACACTCGGCTTTCTTGAGGGTTCGACTCGCGTAAGCGACCACGTATTCTTGGTGCCCTGGTTTTCGTTGAGCCAATACAGCACCAAGACCGACACCACTGGCGTCGGTGTGGACCTCCGTAGGCGCATCAGGGTCAAAATGTCGTAGAATTGGAGGTGATAATAATAACCGCCGAAGCGCGGTGAAGGATTCGTCGCACTCTTTTGACCAAGCAGAAATGCCTTTGGAAGTTGTCAACAGGTTGGTAAGAGGCGCGATGATGGAAGAGAAGTTGCGCACAAATCGACGAAAGTATGAGCACAGGCCGATAAAACTTCGAAGCGTCTTGATGGAATTGGGCTTCGGATAGTCGGCCACGGCGCGGAGTTTCGCCGGATCAGGGAGAACACCCTCTTTGCAGACGACGTGACCCAGTATGGTGAGCTGACGTGCGGCAAAATGGCACTTCTTGATGTTAAGTTGAAGGCCAGCAGAGGTGAGACACGTGAGAATAGCACGAAGACGAACAAGGTGAGTGGAAAAGTCGCGAGAAAAAACGACGATATCGTCTAGGTAGCAAAGGCACGTGTTCCACTTGTAGCCGCGAAGGATGGTGTCCATCATCCGTTCGAAGGTAGCTGGGGCGTTGCAGAGTCCAAACGGCATGACGTTAAACTCATACAGCCCATCAGGTGTTACAAATGCAGTCTTCGATCGGTCAGGATCAGCCATTGGAACTTGCCAATATCCTGAGCGTAAATCTAAGGAGGAGAAATATTCTGCCCCTTGCAAGCAATCGAGAGCGTCGTCGATGCATGGCAACGGGTACACATCCTTCCGAGTTATCTTATTGAGCCGGCGGTAGTCGACACAGAATCGGATAGACCAATCCTTTTTGCGCACAAGTACAACAGGGTACGACCAAGGGCTCTGCGATGGCTGGATGACACCACGCTTGAGCATATCGTCGACTTGTTCGTTGATAATACGGCGCTCTTCCGCTGAAACTCGATATGGTCGTTGGCGTAAGGGAGCATGAGTACCGGTGTCAATGTGGTGCGTGATGTTCGCTGTGCGACCCAAAGATGGTTGAGCGCAATCGAAGACAGAACGGAACTCTCGAAGAAGGGACAAGAGTTCGCTTCTTTGTGTCGGCGATAGCTCAGCGGCAACAGAGGGCTGGAATGAGTCTGGCGCGGGCACTGTGGCCACAGGTGGCGTCATAGCATTGACCTGGAGGTGAGGTGCGTGTTCGGCGAACTCTAGAGGGCGCAAGAGGTCAACGTCTTGTATGTTACCCAAACATTCTCCGCGAAGTAAGGTAACTGGCGACGATAGCGAGTTCGCGACGAGCATGGCGGTAGCACCGGATTCCACGGTGAGTACGGCAAAGGGCAGGTGTAGGCTACGGCGGCGGGTAAATACGTCAGACGGAGTGAACAAAACAGTTCCGGCTGGAGGGGCCGTACAGGTCAGGGCTACAAGTGCGGATGTTCTCGGTGCTATTTCCGTGTCTGCAACAACGACAAGTTTGTAAGGTTCAGGAAGAGAATCCACAAAACAAGAGGTTGGCAGCGGTGTAAGGGCAACTTCTGCACGTGAGCAATCTATGATGGCCCGATGACGCGAAAAAAAGTCCCATCCAAGAATGACTTCGTGGGAGCAGGATGCCAGCACAAAAAATTCAATGGCATAAAGTTCACCTTGGATAATGACACGTGCAGTGCACACAGCTGTAGGTTCTATGCACTGCGAGTTGGCCGTGTGGAGCATCAGGCCCGAAAGAGGCGTCGTCACCTTTTTCAACTTGCGGCATAAGGGCTCACAGATTATGGAAACGGCGGCCCCTGTGTCGATAAGCGCTTGTGCGGCGGTCCCTTCAACATTGACGTCAATAACATTTTGCGGCGAGAAAGATGGAGGCCTTAAGCAGTTCGAATTGTATGCAGCTGTTGCCTCCGGAGCTGCAGCGATCAGTTTCCCTCTTCCGTAGCAGGTCGGCGACGCATAGGTGACAGAGAGCGTCGTCGTGGCGATGGTGACCGTTGGTTTGCGTAGGGTCGAGGACCGTCAGTGGTGTACCTTGATGGCGTCCTAGACGACGACGCCATTGGCCGGCCCACGGCGTCGACTGGAGGGGGATCTCGGCGACAGTGGCGGGCGACGTGTCCAGCGATACCACAGGTGAAACAGATGGGCCTATTATCTGGCGTCCTCCAAGCGTCTGAGCGACGATAAAATGGAGCTGGAGATCTCGCGTAGGGATACGGCGCCGCAATTGGGGTTGTAGGCACGACATAGGGTGGCGTGGCAGGTTGAGCATACGGCATACGCTGTTGCGTAGGCCGAGCAGCGACGGCGGCGTACGTGGGAGGCGTTGTGACTGGTGGTTGCTGATGCACCGGTGGAAGGGCTTCAGCGACTTGGGTCCGAATGACGTGTTGGAGGTCCGGTGCCAAAGCTTGCGTGGGCTCGTGTGTCAGTGGCAGCAGTGACAGCTGGCGCGCTACCTCTTCGCGGACGAAGTCCTTGATTGTCGAAAGCAGCGGCTGCTGGTCGGTAGGATGGGCAGCCAGGTGCAAGCTTGCGAGCGTGTCTGGCGTCGTGATGGCTTGACGAGCAATTGCGCGCTGCCTACGCAATTCATCGAAGCTTTGACAGAGGGAAACGAGGACAGCAATGGTGGGGGGATTTCTCGCGAGCAACATCTGAAAGGCGCCGTCGTCAATGCCTTTCAATATGTGCCTGATTTTTTCTTCCTCAGGCATGGTAGAGTCGATGCGGTTGCATAGATGCAACACATCTTCAATGTAGCCCGTGTAGGTCTCGCCTGGTTGCTGTGACGTAAACGGTGCTCGGCTTGAAGCTTGCGTGCCGCAGGTCGTCCAAAGACGTCCGTAATAGCCGTCTTGAATGCAGACCACGTAGTAATGTCAGCTGCGTGGTTATTAAACCACAGCTGCGCGGTGTCCGCAAGGTAGAATGTGACGTAGCCAAGCTTACTTGGGTCGTCCCATTTGTTACTTGCGCCGACTTTGTCGTACCTCGCCAACCAATCTTCGACGTCCGACTCAGTGGAGCCCGTGAAGATAGGAGGGTCTCGTTGAGGATACACGGCACCGCAAGTGACATGGACGGTCGAAGGTCCCACCTGGAGAGGCGTCTCGGTGGCCATGTTCGTGTCACGTAGAGGGGGAAGCTTACGGGAGCGAAGTTCCAGGTTTGTCCGGGAGTCCACACACCTCCACGAGATGTCACGCAGTTTATTCACGTACAGACCTACTGGAAGGCCGAGGAACGCCAGAAGAGCGAGGAACGCCAACAGGCCGAAAATACAAAACAAACGCAAGCTCGGGTCGCGCGTGCACCAACGCTGTGGCTTGCCGTTTCATGCTGCTTCTTCGTCGTTCGCATAGTTCCCTACACTCGTTTTTTTTTCTTCATATATTTCTGCTAGGATTAAACCCAAGCATCAATCTGTGATTGTTGGTGCCCTTTATTCCGTTTCTTTGCGCTACTATGTTGTGACAATGATCAGCTTTCAGCTTTTAGTTCTCGTGTGCAGTTGGCAACATTGCTGTCATCACTTCGCGCTGTCAAGAACCTGAAAAGGACAATGGAAAAAAGAGACACGTAGTAACACGCTTACTAACGACTTGATCATCTTCTGTACCATTCACATTCAAGTCTTGTATGAACGTAAACAGTCATTAGTACGTTACTACCCTGCGTTCGTCGTTTTTAAGAGCGAAACTGTGGGCGTATTCAGCATAGTACGGGCGACGGCAACGAAACGCTCCAAGCAGCCGACGGACTCCACAAGAGAGCACTTGACTCTGGCGTAGAGCAATGGCTCCAGATCTCGACTGGAACACAACACGTGCTGCTGAAACAAGGTGTAAGTTGAAGGTCTATCTTTCGGGACACGAGTTGCCGAGTACTATGCACACAGCTGTTCCATTCTGCTAACACGAATTCTGTCAAATCCCCACTGGTGCACGTCAGTTTGAGCGTCTCTGACACTATACGGGAACCAGTCGTGCAAGAACATCTTTCTGACTCGGAACTGTCCCTATCTAGCAGGGAAAGCAATTCATGTCATCCGCCATTACCATCAAAACAAGTCACGCTGGACGGCGCCTTTTAAGTACAGTGAACTACCCCAAACAGGCAAGCATGCTGAAGAAGCTATGCGCCATGCCAAGTTCCGGTCCACTCCAACTCCCGCTCCGAATCCACTCCGGCTCTCCCATTGGAACGCTTGATCCCACCCTCACTCTGTCATTGCAACACACTTGCTCCAAAATGAGCCGAAAAGCTTGCTCCGACTCCACCATTGGAATTCAACATTCCAGCTCGAAATGAAACGTTGGATTTGTGCAAAAAAAACACAACAAAACTCCGCGCAGTTGCTCATAAGCCGCGCTCATCGACGGAGGCAGTGCCTGCAGCCACAGCGCCGTTTGCCCGCCAACGTGAGCTGAGTACGAGCGACAAAAGGACCGCGTTTCTACAAGGGGCACTACAGCCAGCTTCGCAGATGACTTTTGCCACTAGAGTTTGGACATTCTTGCAAGCGATGCGACAGTCTGTGATTCGACTCTACTTTGTGCGCGCCATGGAAAGACCACCAACCAAGAAAATCATGTTGAGCACCTAAGATCAACCAGCTTCGCCACTTCTTAAGCTTTGCACGACTAGTGTAAACGTCTCCCGTTTTCTTTATTCAAGCTATGGTGATGCCATCTCAGCATAATGCACCGCAGCCCGACAATAGCAATTTATGAAATAGTAATGGAACTTGTTAACCAGATTTAAGTGTAGTAAATCTCAGTGTGGTCGTTTGTATCGTTTTTCTCACCTTCTGGTCCCGAGAACCGTCCTAGATGCAGCCTGTAGAGCTGGTCTTCGGGATCCACGCGGATGCTATCGTACTCGAGCGAAGCGCTATCGTCCGTGCTGTTGCTGAGTACCACGAGAAGAACCATCGTGTCGTCGCCTGATGTAAGCGCATTCAGCGCGTTGTTGCCTGCAACAATGAAGAAGAATATGGCGCAAAGGTAAAATTACTTAGTTATATAAGGGCTGTTTTATAATACTCAAACTCTCCGAAATGCATTTGTATGTTCAAAAAAATTGAGGCAGCTTATTGTGGGGCAAAGCCTCACGAAAGTGCGAAGCTGTTTGTTTATTTGTTTTTCCTTCAAACCTATGGCAGGTGCCCACTCTGAGGAATTGGCGAAGAATGCGTTGTGGAAAATTTAAATGCTTATTTGGAAAATGTTAGGTGATTTGGGCAGTCTTCTGTGTTTCTCTGCGGTTTTCTCTTCTTTCCTACTTTTTTTTATTTTTCTATTTTTCTTCCAATTTTTGTGTGTTTCTATAATCTCGTTATTTCTATGATATTTCAAGTTTCTTTCTACTTCTTTTCTTTCTCTCTCTCTCTCTTTGTTTCTTTTCGCTTTTTTTCTTTTCTTTTCTGCTTTCATACGTGGTTGGTTCTGTGTTACATCAAGCAATTACACCGTCCGACAGCAGAAAAATTGACTGTTCTTCGGTTAACTGGAAATCGTGTAGTCGGAATTACGCTATACACAATGACTACATTAGTGAGGCCACTGGATCTCTCATTGTATATAGGATAAAAATTGAGTTGAGTTTTCGGAAAGTGCTTTAAATATGATGTACGTGAATTTGTGGGAACATTAAACGGACTTGAAACTGATTTTGCTACGGTACGTAAAAGCAAATGCGTAAATTTTCATTTCAGCTCCGCCTCGGTGGTCTAGTGGCTAAGGTATACTCGGCTGATGACCGGCAGGTCGCGGGATCAAATCCCGGCTGTGGCGGCTGCATTTCCTATGGAGGCGGAAATGTTGTAGGCCTGTGTACTCAGACTTGGGTGCACGTTAAAGAACCCCACGTGTTAGAAATTTCCGGAGCCCTCCACTACGGCGTCTCTCATAATCATGTGGTGGTTTTGGGACATTAAACCCCACAAATCAATCAATCAAATTTTAATTTGAGTATCTGATAACTTTTCTAGACCAATATTCTGCTTAAATAAGTCAGAAAACGTATAATTCGACATGTCGCACGAGTCGTAGTTCCTTGCCGTCTCCCGATTTTTGTACATAGCTACACTGCCAACTGCCAAAATGTGGCAGCCGCGCGGAATGCGCTGCGTGTTGAATTGTGCTTTGCATGACTTCGATTCAAAGCGGCGAATGATAGCCGAGAACAGCTGCTTGTCGTGTTTTGTAATCTAGATGTCACAGCCAACAAGTAAACGACACTGTCACGCAAATGGCTTACACTGGCCAATATTGTCGAGTTCCTGCTAATCGTACTGTTGACATCGGAATTCTTAAAAAATATTCGAAGCTTCGAAACCAAACTGTGTAAATAATGGTGACAGCGAAATGCATGCTGATGCTCTCCATAAGATGAAAACTTCATGTCCACTGCATTGCATGCCGTTGTAGGAGATCACGCAGCATGAAGTGCATCAAGGACCTTTACATGACTTCGGTTACATGTTGCTAAGAGTCTCCTAGTTTTTGCGATAGTCGTTCCAGCAGTGTGCTGCCGCAGCTCCATCGCAATCGCTCGCCGAGGCTATAAGTGGCAAATAATGTCCTGATGAATCATGAGCTTCTGATTTATAGAATATATTGTGAACGGCTGAAGGAACACGTGTATTCATTCTATAAAGGGACCGGATTCAATTTGGCAATCCATTATAAAGCCTGCGGACGCGTTCCTCGTTTGAAACAAACCTTGGTTCTCGGTACAAGTCGGGAGGAAGCCGCACGCGAGCTAAAAGAGGCCTTCTGTAGAAAAAGATAAGAGCCCAGCCTCTGTATGCAAACCATCAAAAGTGGCATACGAATGCGAAATGTCGTTTTTAGAAGCATTTGGTTGCAATAACATCTCGTATTAGTTAAAATTCCTAACGCGCATGGCCTAAAAAATGAAGAGGTGCTCTTTTTTAACGGGTGGCGCTGTTTTATCTGTTTGAAGGTTTTGTTGCTGCACTCGTTACAACATTTATTTCATTTTTATGCTACTTTGCTCTACACCACGTGTCGCTGACATATTTCTATTTTTGTTAACGCTGCATATTTCTAGTTTTGTTAAATATATGCCATCACGTACAACTTTTATCGCTTTTAAGAACAACATCTGATTTGCGCTGTTGAAATGCTTTCCTATTTGTATCCCCCTTTTTCTTCGAATAGGATCTGTTGCTTGTAGGCGTTCATCCATGTTTCTTCTTGTGTTTGTCTTGTTTATGCCTTATTTCTTCCGTAGAAGACATTGTGCCGCCACAAAACTTGACGCCAGGTCTTACCAATCCAGTATTCTTCAGACGGATCACCGAAACCCTGAGCGTATTCGGTCCAGTTGCGGTAGAAGTGGTAGACTCTGTTGCCAAACTGCCCTCGCCTCTGGATAACCTGCAAGTGTGAAAACACACACAATGAGTATTTTAAGCTGTTTCAATTCAGAGGGATATTACAATCCTTGAAGGTAGACGTTTGACGCACATTAAACCGCAAGATGTTACCTGGCAGTACTCAACCTTGTAAGGGGTCATTTCTTCTAAGAATGTTTTAAAGCAGTTGAGAGGCAAAAGAGTGATAGAGGTGGGCAAAAAAAAGGAGAAGATAACAGGAATGTTATTGAACTTTCACGTTTTGTGTGAGCACTTAAATTGGCATGATTACTTGTGTTTTTACAACCTCAGTGTGGTGTGGACACATTTCTATGTAGTGCGGAAACATTTTTGTGTGGTGTGGACACTCAGTGTTTAAAAGCGTGAACTCATTGTGTAAGTGTTGTGCTATGTACATATGTATAGCCTTGTGTTTGCTACAAAATGTGCGATATCGACGTTTGTGCAAGAGAAGAGGAGTAGCCGGCGCCACGCATTGGCACCAACCTCTCCTTATATACATTTAATTAAAGAAAAATACTTGTTCACTCCGTTCCAAGATACTATCACCATCATAAACGAGTGTACGCCTCGAAAATTGGATACCAGCCGCTGCTCATCATTAATTCAATAATAACCAAGAAGGCCACAGCTAGCGCAACTAATGGGAGTGTGTCACAGAAACCCCGAAACGATGGAAGACCCTATATATACACCAACTATGACGTGTCCGTGTCATCTCTGTGGCTGTTTGTGGTTTAACTAAAACTCTCCGTGCTGAGAATCAACGCGAAAACCACCTGGCATCATCTGGCTGTAGCCGAGAAACGACCCAGAAACAACCCCAAAAAAACCTTACTCACCTAGCTAAGACCTATAAACAACCTACAAGCAATTTTTTATTTATATCATTGATATTGTGTAGCGTCTTCACTGCAATGTCAGATTATATGCAGATGACTGTGTCATTTATGGGAACATAATAAACGAACACGATGTCTGTTGGGCTCGAACTTCGTGCGTTCCCTGAATACCTTATTGTTACCCACCCCGCGGCCGGCGACCAAGCAGGGCCACCAGAATGCGGGACGATGACTGTCTGCTGGCCACAAAGGACGCAACAACTCCCGTGCCCCAAGGGGTTCAATTATGGCGCCTTACAGGAGACCAAGCCAGGCTGCAGGTGGCCGGGCCAGGCTGCAAGGATGGAAGGTGCACGTGCGCGTCCGCCGGACAACCAGAATCAGCGGAGGCGACGGCATTTGTGCACGGGCCAATTGTATTGATGGCCTGTCAGCCCGGCATCGCGGGAACTTACTCGGAGGCGCTTTCCCACTACCCGGCAACGCCCGTCGTCGATCATTCCGGGAACCGGGGTGAAAGAAACCTGAGCGACGGCGGAGAACCGATGAGTGGGCAAGAGGCGGTGGGTCTTCGAGGTTGTGGCGAGGAGAAATCCGGGCCTGGCACTTTCAACGGCAGCCAAACCGGGAGTCGAGGAGAGACACATCCGTGCGTCCCGATTGGACTGTAAGAGTGGTGCGTTACGATTGGACTGTAAGAGTGGCTGAATGGGGAGACAGGGGATAAAACCAGGGGTGCAGGGACAGGGAAAAAAACGAATAAACGTCTCTATATCCAGATGATGTCGGAGCGGTCGTTTCCTAAAGGTGACAGCAGATGAAAAGTTCTCGTCTTCGGCTTCCTTGGCGGCAGCAGCAAATGTCGCGCAGCAAGCGAGAAGCGAGTGGAAAGAACCAAAACGGAACGTAACTATGTCATTAGCCCACAAACCGATTTAAGCAAATTTTAAACTTGGTGTTCCACACGGTGTATGTCTTTGAATAGTTCTAAATGTCAATTTATATATTTTAACCACAAACGTTTGCCTGTGAGATCAGATTATCATTTGGACGACATATCACTTGAACGGATACAGCATTACAAACACCTTGGCGTTTATTTTTCAGAAAATTTGTCATGGACTAGGCATATTGACATATTACATTAAAATCTTTCCGAGTTCTTCACCTCATTAGATGCAATTTTCACAAAGCCCCCATGAACATTGAAGAATACCTTTATAATACGAACGTTCGCCCATTACTCGAGTACGCTTGCGCAGCATGGGACCCAGACACCTTATGTCTTGAAAATGAACTTGAGCGTATCCAGGCTCGTGTAGCCAGGTTTGTCTCCCATATTTAAAACTATAAAAGCAGCATTTCAATAATTTCAACCTTGTATATACTATGTAAATATCTGACATATGGATCGTTACATTTCATTTGTGTGTTCTTCGTTTACCATGTATTGTGCACATGTAGACATATCTTTTTGTAACAATTCTCGTGTATCCGTGCATGTTGTGTTCCGTGTACATATGTAAACATATCTTTTTGTAACAACTTTTGGTGTGTGTGTGGATGTTGTGTTCTGTCGCGATGTTCTGTTGGATTGTAACTGATGTTCACTGTCCGTCGGAATAAATTTCTCTAAACACAAATTGGAACTTTTTTTCCGCATTTACTCTGGTTTAAAAGGTGGTAACAAAAACTTGTACATATTCCCCCTCACTTCATCTCTACGCATTGTGATCATGACTGTAAAGTTCTTAAAACGCTATGCCGCACAAATGTGTTTCATTATTCTTTTTTTCCTCACGCCTCCACGCTTTGGAACAAGCTTCCTAAAGGTATAGGAGATTGTAAAACACTCTCCCAGTTCCAGTCGTTTTTACATTCAAATTTACCGTGAGCTATAAGCTAGCTGTCCCCTAGATTTTGCTTGTGTTGTCTTTTATTTTTTTCTATTTTCTTCTTTTGATGACATTGTGCCTGAATTGTGTCGTCACTTTTTATTGTTGCATACACCGCTTTGTTATTAGCTTATTTTTTCATCTTTGTCTTTGTGTGAACATACATTCTTCTACGTGATTATTTTTTCTCGTACTATCTCCTTGCAATAATGCACTCATGGCGCTGCAGGTACTTGTATTAAAAAAAAACGAAGTAGAGTTTATAAGTTTCTAATTTCACTGTCTCAAGGCTTGCGCAGCTTAGCCCAAGCTTCGCCCATTTTTTCTGCCTCCTTTGTTTGCGGTGCCATGTTTTCATGATAGATCTATACCCGTCTGCACTGTTCTTGCTATGAGCCCTAACTCTCCGCTGTTTCCTTCCTTTAGTAAAGCACATACATCTACCCCACCCTAGTGTATGCTCTCATTCATTATTCTCGGAGCATATATAGGTGTACTGTCCGCTTCGGGTTCGAAAATGGGGCCGAGAGAAACATTTTACTTCTCGGAAGACAGCAACTCCCTCTGTCTGGAATTAATCTCCAACAACACTCCTTAATTCTTCGATGACTGCTAAATAAAATTATCTCTCTTTTCCTCTCGGCAACTTTTTCTCATTGCAAGACTTCTGTGACGCTTTGGCACGCATGCACAAGCGTGCGTGCGTGGATGTACTTTATCGCACCAGCAGTATTTATTTATTTATTTATTTATTTATTTATTTATTTATTCTTCCACGTTACAAACAGACAACACAATAGGGCTGTGGTCACCACTGCACCTTTCTTTGAAAACGTCGTTCTATGACACCCAAGATGCATGGCATCTACGACAACGCATTTCTCACCCATAGCGTTGCGCAAAGGCAAAACCAAAAACATGCCCAAACTTTCTTTGCTCCTTTGGGTACTGCGCTCTGCGAATAAAAACTAGCAGTTGTTCCGTGTACGAATATAACGGACGAGCGAAGCTCCTTATAAGTGGGACTCAAACGACTGCGACGCGCTGCTTGCTTTCATGAAGGCGGTAGAATGGGGATTGTGAAGGGAGAGCGCTGCTGCCTCGGTGGCGAGAATGACTGAGAGAGCGAGGGTACGGCGCAGCGCGAGCCATCTGCGGGCACTCCAGTGCATTCCGAGAGCGCGCACCGGTGGTTTTGCTCGGCGCTCTTGCACGGCGCTGTGAGCTTTGATGGCGACGTTGGAGTGCAGGCCTTCCGCTCTTTAAAAATGCTTACCCTGAAGTTCCACCTGGCGTGACATCAGCCGGAACAGTGGAAATGTGGTTTGCTGTTACCTTTGTGATTTTGTGAGATTGTCTGGGATATTTCGACATTTTGTGTAGCTGTTTGTGATTGTGTTATTCGTAGAGATGAAATGAACAGGAAAGGACGTGTGGCAGCGCCTGCCACTCCGGCCTCTGCTACAGTAACCTAAGACCGTATTCAAGCTGTAGCCGCGCTTCACATTTTCACTGTGCGGCTGCGGCTTCGTCCGCTACCAAAGCCGTTACGCCATTTATGGGTCTTAGAAGCGGAACGTCATTATACCTCGGACCTTCATGTGTTGTCCGACTCATACAGTTTCCTACAAGTACACTTGAGCAAATTCTGGTGCTAGTGTCTATGGTAACTGCAACGCTCAGCGTTTCAACTGGCATGAGAATGAAGGGTATAGCGCAAAGATTTGTTTAAACTTTGCTTTTTCGGTTTCATTAGGCTTTGTATGGCCTACATACGGCTTGCTGCAAGACGTAGTTCAGCCAACGCTCAGAAGTTACGCTTCACTACTTTGACCTTTCTAGGCTCACTAATCGGCTCGCGAAGTTCGCAACCGCCCGCTCTTTATTCTGAAAACACAAAAACGCAAAAATAAACAAAGCCAAAAGTGTGTTCGAAGCCACAGACACAAAGCAAGTCTGTTTACCGCCAAACGTTCCTATGGTGGCTGAATAACCACAGCGTCAGACTTCCCTGTAGTAGATAGTATAGGAAACTCTAAGATTCGGCCCATTCAATAACAACTCCGATGTTAAAAATATAGCTTAAAGCAAGGCCGTTTGAAGAAAACAAGCGCACACACAAGATTTCTCTAAACGTCTACCGCGAGCCATAAGTTTCCCATAAGTACACTAGAGGTAGCTCTGGCACTAGTGTCTATGGTAAATGCAATGCATGACACTTCCGCCACCAGTGGAAATGATGTGTATAGTACACGTATTTGTCTAGTCTTTTCTAGTCTTGTTTTTTTTTTTTTTTTGGCTCTGGGTCACCTGAATCTGCCTTGCCGCAATTTGAAATTCAGCAAAGGTTTAGCTACTCGTCACCACCTTGATTTGTTTATGCTCACAAACTCGAATCATGTCACGAAGTTCACAACGGCCCGTTCTCTCAGTTTGAAACGAAACAAAAACACAGCAGTAAGCAAAGCCACACGTGCACTGCGAGGCACGCAAGTACGAGGACAATACAAGACTAGGCAAATATGTGTACTACCCACCGTTCCCCTGGTTAGAGTGGCCTATATTCTAGGTCACTCTACCCAACGTTACTAGGACTATGTTAGTCTAGTAACGCTGACTCTACCCATGGCTCATTAAACGATCGCAGCGCCACAGTCTCCTCTCGTGAATTTTAGGAAACTCTATGCGGCGAGCCATGCCGGATCACTCACCGTCCATCCGCCACCATCAGTGTCCATATCGCAGTAGACGCTCTGTCCCGAAGGTCCGGCACCCTTGTGGAACACGGTGTACACTCCGCTTGAACGCTGTCCAGCGCCAAGGAGATCAGTGCAGTGTCGAGGGAGGATAGTGGCTGCACAGAAAGCGATCACGAAGAAAACAAAAAAATAATAACAGGGCCGTTCTGGCACGCGTAAACTTTCCCGGGTCATCATAGCAGCTAAACAGACCTGTTGAGAAAGGTGTGTCGCAATTAGGTACTTTAAAGACACCGTGAGAACGCCAAAAAAAAGTGCCCATTCAAGTCGTCCACCGTCAATGTTTTACTTCACTACAAAAAAATCAAAAAGTGAAGAAGGAATATTTTATAATGACTGTCACGGCAAAATATTATGCCCTCTAATAAACCAGGTGAGACAGCTTGGTAGCTTCACTATTGAAAATGGTTACCTTATTTATGAATACCCAATTATAGTTGCCGCAGCCTAAATGCAAGTGACTCATAAAAGTTTAAGTGTAATTTTTTTAGTAAGCTCAGTACAAGAATGACATGTACATAAGCAGTCCTTTATAGGTCCAATAGATTTTTCAACATTCAGTTCATTGAAGGCGCCATTTTCGAAACAGCACGTTAAACAGCCTAACGATTGCCCCCGTACTCAACTCTGTACGTTTCCTAACTTGCAATATAATTTTTGTGAACCCACTGTTTCTCATTGTTGTCCTTTCCATACCCTTTACGAAACATCATTCTATTGGTCATGTCCAGCAGTTTATCATATTTGCTTGCGTTTCAGAATGAGACCAAACACCTACAACTGCTATTTAAAAAGTCCCCTTTGTGAATTTCTCCCCACGAGGAATTGTAAGCTGCCTCATATACTGCATTAACAGACATGCTAAAAATTTACTGTTTTTCGACAGTAGCCTAGATTCTATCGTTGCTTTGAAGCCTCTTCATCACTAATGTCATCGTACTCATTGCTCTCTACAACCCGTCTTGACTGTATTGAGATGCAATCATGGGCAAGTACCCCCAACCAAGAACCGAAAATAAATAACGCTTGAGTTCTAGTTCACACAAGTTCATCTGTAGATTATTTGCACCTTGGCGCAGTAACATCTACATTCCTGCAGATATAACAGTGCAAGCGGCACGTGTCGTTCAGGTTAGGAAGCGGGTCAAGCCAAGCGCGCCAGCAGCGTGCCATCTTTTACTAATGCAGAGGGCTCTCCATTTACATGGTTAGCATTCATTTTATTCAAGAAAATAAGTACTCAAGACAAGATTACAAGCCATCGAAATGGAAAGATGGGTTAGCTAATACTGTAGGGGTAGCACTGCGACAGATGACAGAGAGTCATTCGTGATTCTCGCGTACAACTAGAGATCGTCGGGGACAGAAACAAAAAGGTTACTCTTCAGTTTGGCCAGCATAATGGCCAGTTCTTGCGCATGCTGTTGGGCTTCCTCGATTGTCGGACGGATGTCGGTCTGCCCTCCGGGCAGCCATCCCCAGCTACCGTGGAAACCGTGTACAAGATGGCCGATCTCGACAAGCATCGTCAGCCGCCAGTGGAGTTGCCCGGCGGCCATTTTGCGCCTGCGAGTTAGAGGGATAGCGTTGCCTTCACTGAAGTACCTCAGTTTCCTCTGTAATCGTGTTAATTCAAAGCGTTTTTTTTTTTTTTCATTCAGCGCTTCACGCTGAGGTCCTCAAAGTTTATGGAAAGCGTCTTTTAGCTAATCCCCAGAACGTTACTGCGGCACTATAGTTCCTTTCACAGCACGCACCACACTTGAGATAATGACAAACAATCACAAACACACCATTAAAGTTGATCATGGCTTTATATCCAAATGGTTAAAATGAAGTCAAAATGTGCGTACGTGGACTGTCCAAAGTTTCTTGACAACCCAATGTGAGGCACGTGTACAGTTCTGTGAAAGGAGCAGGCGCGCAACCTGGAGATCAGCACCGCTAAATAAATGTTCTCGAGATACTTCAACAAAACTGGTAATTCAGCCTTATCAACACAGGAAAAAGAAGTCGAATTAACTTCGTTCTCTAGGCATGCAGATATTGTTTGTCTTCTTTGTTAGAAATACGCTTGTACACCTGTGAAAGAAGGGATGCTTCCTATAAGACATTGAAAGGTTTTGACAGTACTTCTCGAATAGAAACGGATTTATTACGAATGCCGCAGCTGTTTTAACAGCGCAGGTTTTGCAACTAAAGTAAGCGCGTCAAAGGTACATTGAAGAGCGAAACGGTTTAGGGTATTGGCAATCTACAATTTCCAATGCCGAAAACACCACCCTTACCGCGACACAACGACCGGTAAGCGAAAGAGATGCGAAAAGAAAATACGGGTGAAGACGCCATATACTAAAATTTCCACACCACACACCTTGACGTCACACACTTTGAAGGCGTCTACTGGATCCTGCGTAGCTTCTAATCGAAGAAATTGAAGTACAATGTCATCTGTCAATGCCATAAACCTTGCACACAAAGTTTAAGAAAATTCAATCAGCCATTGTAGCAAAAATTTGAAAAATACATTTTCCCGTTTTGACGATACACGCGGCGATTTTTGCGCACAATTTAAACCTGAAACTTCAACGTGGAGTTTCTTCGCTAATAATGAACTTACGACCGCTAAGCTTATGGCATTAGAGTGCTCAGTTAGCGCTAATGTTTTCTTACGTAGAAGTCACTGATCCAAACGATAACTGATCTACATCAATGCTTTGTTCATAATGTGTGCATAAAAACTTTGTACAAAGTGGGTATTGGGAAGGAACGTCACATGGAGTGCACGTGCAAACAATATTCATGCCAACAGCAGCAAAGCGAACGTCATAAATATGGCACGCCAAGCTGATACTCATGGGGATACGGTGTTGCATTTCCGTGCCTCTTTTTTCTTTCAAACATTAGCTGACGAAGCAGCGCCACGTGTCTAGCATCACTTATCTAAACCCTGCAGTACAAACAGTTCATTGAACTACCCGATCCAAAAGAGACCTCCTGAGACATCGGAGAGGCTGGATATCTAAACCTCTTAAGCTGAAAGAAGTACTCAGAGTGGGCTTAAGTTTGTTTGCAAAAGTTTCTTGTCCGAAGTCAGTGAAGAAAGCTATCGAAAAAATAAAAAAATATATGTGTAGCATAGAATTGCTCTGTGTGTATTAAAACAAAGACAACACAAGTTAAAAACATGAACTTTAATTTTGTAGCTGACCGGACGGTAACAAAAACATGCAGTCGACAGAAAAATTGCAACTACATAATCACCTCTCCTCTCATTGACCACTGCTTTCTTGATTATTTTTATTCTCTTATTGCCAGGTGCTAATGCGGGAAATTGTAGGAGTGATTCGCACAACAAATAAGGGCAGCGTTCCTCGACAACAAGCGTTATGCTCTGTTATAAGACGCGTTCCTCCCTATGCACGCTAGCAAGCTCCAATTTCAACTTTTCAGTGATTTATGGTAATAACAAGCCTTCGCCTATTGTTACGCGCGACCATTTCAACGTCCCCAAGTGATGTAACTACCATGAGGGCAACAAACACCAGGGAACAATGCTGAAGAAGCTTTATAACCACCCACTATTTATTCAAAGATAAGCAAATGTGATCGCCGTAACCGGCAATTCAAGTTGCCACCTGAAGATCTGCCGCTGAACGCAACAACACCAGTCGCCTCAATTCACGATATATATGAAGTCTAAATACACACACTTGGCACGATCACTTATGACTGTTGCAAGAGCCAACGTCATAACGAACAGCATGAGTTAATACGTTACAGAAATCAATACGTTCCAGAAATACGTTACAGAAGGAAATTTTTGCTAGTCCTGACCATACATTGCAAGGATCAGAGGACTTCTGCGGGCAAAAGACAAATAATTCGCCTAATGACTGTACATAACTGCCGCTAATGATTGCACCAGAGTGGTAGAAAAGCATATATGTATCCATTTTTCTCGGGGAAGTAATCTTTTAAATAGTAACAAGGGAGTCCTGGTGGCAGTCTTAGCAACGATACATGACAGCAGCGCACGACGGCACCTGTCTTGCGAATGTTTCTCGATGAAGTATCTCGCTTGCTCATGAAATTCAGAAATGGCTCTGTGCCTGGTATTTAACAAACGTTTAACGTTTACTTGCGGCCTTTACACATCAGAGATATGTGTGTTAGGTAAATGTAGACACATGATTGAACAACTGGAGACCCTACTATTAATAACTTGTGTGTGGGATGTGTTATGTGCTGCCTTCCTCTCTCCTCTCTTTCGATTTCCCCCACCACGTTTTCACGTTTGGGGTGACTAACCAGTTATCCTGGACCGATTAACCCCTTTACGTTACTTTATCTACCATTTTTTCTCTCTCTTGCAATCGATAAAGTCTGTACCTCATCGCTCGCTTTTTCTCGTGCTGTAAACTTGAGCCTCCACAATAATGTTTGTTTCGTTTCTGCTTCTTGACTAATAAACTGAACATACCGGACTATATTGATACGCGTAGAGTTGCAGTTGCGGTTGCAGACGCACTAAGACAAGTGCAACCTAATCGGTTCTGAGCCCAACACAATTCAACATCTTCTGTGGCTAGAAGCGTCCTCTATAGTCTACACTGGCACCAACACCTACGTAACATTAACTCCCGGCGGCAAAAGCACCGTTTCGGCAGGGCCGGATTAGCAGTAAGGAGGGCTCGGATCAATAAAAAAATGGGGCCCCTCTCTCTCACCCCACCCCCTTCTTTCCCACTTTTCCATCTGGTTGTGCTCTAAACTTGACGCTTCTTTAGATTTAGCTGCAAAGAACACGAGTCAGATTTGTTTTAAGCCTCTCTGAAATGTTTCAAGGGACACTAAAGGCAACTATTACCTCGACGTTGATCGTTGAAATAACGGTCCAGAAACCTTGCAGTGTTACTTTTGTGCCAAGGAAGGGCGTAATTTGAAATAAAATCACGTTTTGTTGGTCCGGATCGGGTAAGTGCACTTCAAATTAACCGCCTCAAGAAGCGGACCAACTGACGTCACTGTTGCGGTGCACAACGTCGCCCGGCTTTACTGCGCTAGTAGCAGCAGACCAAAAGCAGCACGAGCCACAACAGCAACAACGGCCATTGATCGATTTCCCGCCATTGGCTCTGAGATTGCAGACTTTCTTTTAGTTCAACTGCGCACCGCTAGATGGCACCACCTGTCTAATGTAACTACGCGAAAATTCAGTTTTTGAACCACTCACGTCATTCCCCATAGTAACAACGCCCGGTGGTTCTTTTTTTTTTCATGAATCAAACAGAAACCAACAACCTGCACTTTATTGCTTCTCTTGATGCACGAAAAGTTCTTTATTTAGTGCAGCTAGATCGATTACTAGTGATTTATTTTAGGTGGTGCGACTGATGTCATCGGGATCATTTTGAAAATGGCCAACTACGGCGAATGTGTTCTTGTGCATTTGTCTTAATTTCTCGGTAAGTAGGACACTACTGTTGATAATATTGTCATTTTAGATGTTGTCATACATTGAGTTATCACTCTGACGTAAATTGTTATTTGATTTTAGTGCCTCGTTAATGTCACTTAGGCGTTTTCTTTCTTGCGGAGTACGTGGAGAGATTGTCAGCGCATTATGAATAACCATATCTGGGGACCGAGACACATGGATCACATTAAGGTTTGTCTGGTTAGTTAGATCATACTGAAAGAAGAGCAAACAGTGTAAAAAGTCAAGACGAAAGGAAGGAATGCACACGACACTTGGAAGTGCAGTTCAAGCAGCATGTGTGTTTATTTCATCCGTCTTAACATATTGCGTTGTTTAACACTTATTTCATGTGAGGACATCTTCCCTCGAAAACTAGGGAGCGCCTGTGTGAAAATAGCTTTCTGTATCTGCTTCAGCATCAGTATTTCGGTAGCGCACGCTTTGGTTGCCTGCGTGCGAGCCCTGCCGAAGTTGACAGGTGGGCTCCTTTCAGAAACTGTTCGTACGTACTTGCAGTAAATACGCAAACAATCGTCCATCTGCTTTCTATTTCATAGAACACACATTAAAGCTATTCTAAGGCAGCATTTCGATAGAGTGTAATTATGTACATTGTATACAACTACTGATCACAGATGGTTTAAAATTAAGATATCTTTAAAGTGGAAATAGGGGATTAACCACACTGCCCCACCTCGCCCGGTAAAACTGCCGGACTTTAAATAAAGTCTATTCATTCATTCATTCATTCAATGTGGAAAGGGGGTATCCACAATCTGGTGGCCAGGTAATGGATATATATTGTAGATATTTCCTGTGCACAACTTTTACCAAATGCTGGGCTCTTAAGTTTCCCTAAATAACCACCAAGCAAGAATTAAGACATAACGGCAATGCCAGAAGCAAAAAGTCAAACCATTACTCTTTCGGAGTCCTTGCACAATCAGAAAGTTCCGTACCATGCAAATATTTCATGGTGCGTTGCATACACTGTAATTGCAGTTATTGTCATTCAGCGTATTAAAAATATTTCAAACAGGAACAACTCTCTATGCGTCTTCTCGTTGCACGATCGACCGTAGCTGCTAGAATCCTCGTCCGGCTGCTAAATGTGCCCACCTGCTGGATCAACTCCTTCTCTCTACACGATGCATAATCTTGGGTAAATAAAAAGGTTTTTACCACAGACTGCAAAAGTGTGAGCTCCCTTGAAGATTATGCAAGTTGTGCAACGAAGATCCTCTTAGAAGCATGTATATTGAGTGTTGAAATAGTTATAAATAGATAATCCAGTAGGAGGGTTAAACTTTTTCGAACAAAACAATGAAGTGGTCCCCCCCCCCTTTTTTTTTCCTTAAGGGGGCCCACTAAAACTGGGGGGCCCGGTAATTTGAACCTTTTGAACCCTGGATAATCCGCCCATGCGTCTCTGTGCATAGTATCAGCGAACGTGATGTACGGCTTTAGGCGGAACACATGCTCAGTCTCAGTAACTGGTGAGGTGGACGACGGCTTGGGCAGAGAAATCTCGTATGTGACTTCGGTAACTCTGCGAAGAACTCAGTAAGGCCCAGCGTGGCACGGCAGGAGTTTTTCACTCAAGCCAACGTGACGCGAAGACAGCCAGAGCAAGACCAGGGAGCCAGGCCTGAAACTCACGTGACGGTGGTGACTATCGTATTGGCGCTTTTGGTAGGCCAGAGATATCAGGAGTCGATCACGGGCAACGCGACGTGCCGTAGCCGCGCAAATGATGGCGTCGTGAGCGTAGAATGTGGTTGAGTTTGCCTCAGAAGAAAGTAGTGAGTCGACAGGCAAGAGTGGGTCGCGGCCATACAACAGACAAAACAGAGAATAACCAGTAATGTCGTGACGCGACAAGTTGTAGGCGATTGTCACGAATGGTAACGTGCAGTCCCAATCCAGGTGGTCCTCAGACACGTACATGGATAACATGTCCGTGAGTGAAGGCTTCAAACGCTCAGTAAGCCCGTTTGTTTGCGGATGGTTAGTGGTGCTGAACTTGTGAGACGTTGCACAAGAGCGGAGAAGGTGATCGACGACTTTCGGAAGGAAACATCGACCTCGATCAGCCAGCAGCTGACGCGGGGTGTCATGGTGTAAGATGACTTGATGGAGAAGAAAGTCAGCGACATCGGTTGCACAGCTGGTAGGAAGGGCTCACGTAATGACATAACGTGTCGTATAATCGGTCGCTACGGCTACCCCCTTGTTACCCGCAGACGACGTCGGGTAAAGACCAAGGAGGTCCAGGTTGACACGAAAGAATGGTTCGCTGGGAATAGGTATGGAGATAGGTACCCAGCAGGAGAAAGAGAAGGCTTTTTGCGGCGTTGGTAGAGTTTGCAAGAAGCGATGTAGCGACGAATCAAGCGGTATTCCGAAGGCCAGAAGAAACGTCTGCGCACATGATCGTGGGTTTGGTAAACACCCAAATGGCCAGTGGTGGGAGCATAGTGTAATTCCCAGAGGATAGTTGGTCGCAAATGCTGAGAAACAACGAGAAGCAGCTCAGCATCATGTGGTGTCATATTGGGTCGATATAAAGTACCGTCCTGCAGAATAAACATACAGTGGTAGCCGTCCCGTGGTGTTGAAGTGGGGCGTTGTATAAGGGATCACAAATACATGGGTCGTGGCGCTGCTCGTCGTTGACGTGTACTAAATCGCCAAGCGACAAAACAAAGGTGCTTGAGTAAGTTTTGGTGGTGTCAGGTGGGTCGACGGGATAGCGGGAGAGGCAGTCAGCGTCCTTAAGTAGCCGTCCAAACTTGTAGGACACAAAAAATGTGCATTATTGGAGGCGTAAAGCCCAGCAACCGAGGCGTCCTGTAGGATCTTTGAGTGAGGAGAGCCAACACAAGGCGTAATCCTCTGTTACCACGGTGAAATGCCATCCAAAGAAAAATTGGCGAAACTTGGCAATGGCCCAGACAAGGGCTAGGCATTCACGTTCTGTGATAGAGTAATTGCGCTCTGAGGCTGAGAGAAGGCAGCTAGCATAATCGATTACACGATTGAGCTCTCCCTGTCGCTGGGACAAAATAGCACCAATATCATGGCCACTTGCATCCGTACGGACTTCCGTGTGAGCAGATCGGTCAAAATGACCCATATTTGCCGATGGTTCTTGCGGCTACAGTATTGCTCCGTTATGGTCGAGGATGCTGGTTCGATTACTGGCTTCGGAGGCCACGTTTAGGTGCGTACGAAATGCCATAACACTCATGTGCTTACACTAGGCCCGTGTGCTCAGATTTGGGTGCACGTGAAAGAACACCAGGTGGTCGAAATTTCCGGAGCCCTCCACTACGGCGTCTCTCATAATCATATGGTGGTTTTGGGGCGTTAAACCACTATATCAATCAATCAATCAATCAATTCGCAATGCACAAACAATAGGCTCGAGCGCAAAATACGAAAAGGACACCTACGATTTAGCAGGAAGTTGGAGAAACGCTGAGAGGTCGGGCGCCGATGTCTCTGACCACCGTGTTCCGCCGCAGTCCTAGGTTCCTGTTGTGAAGACGAACTCCACGTGGTTCGGTTTTAAAAGCTCAGTGGTGATGACGTTGAGAGATATATGCATCATCTTATCCAGCTAACCACGCACGTGGGTGCGTTGCTCCATAAAAGCCTTCTCTCACCTTGCGTGGCCGCTGAAATTTGCGAACGTCCGTAACTATACCACGCGACAAACCATAAATGCCTCTCTACTGCACATTTTTATTTGCGTGCAGTACACGCAGGTTGCCGCTGAAGGCTTACATTTCAAAGGAGCCGCTCCGATATCTTCCGCGACCAGGTACGTATACTGTGCAGCCGTAGCTGAACTCGTAAAGTGTGTAAACAATGTCTGCCCCTTTATAGGAGCACATCCACTAGGTATAATACACGATATGCGAAGCACCACCTGTGAGCTCGTTGAAGGGGAGGGGGGCACTCCATTGCCTGATAAATGCGCGACAAATAGTGACCCCGAGATAACGCTGTCTTCGCCGTCTGGCACACTGATACAGTGATAGGTACACGCAGATAAAGAAAGAAAAAAATCTATTTTATCCAAAGTACCTCAACACAGTGTACGCCTGAACGCTACCGCCGGTGGTCACGAAGCGGCGAGACAAGATACCTACACGCCGAGATCTTGACGTAATTTACGGGTATAGTACAGCGTTTCTGACGCGGTCCCACTTATCTCGTAGGTTGTTAGCCGCTTCAAAGCTTTTTTTTCTGAATATGTTTTCCTTTTTATTTAAGACATTACGCGCATCCAGGCATCACCAGGCATGCCCCGTGTTTCAACTTTTCTCATGGTCAGCTTTCCCTTGCCCGCGGTGAGAAGTCAGCCATAGCAGCGAGAAAATAAAATGTAATGTGAGATGCACACTGAGGCCCGTGAGGGCAAGGTAATGCTAACCAACTTTCCACGCTTCTTATTTATTTATTTATTTATTTATTTATTTATTTACATAGTTCCTGCAACGCCGTAGTGGCATTACTGCAGGGGGGTATACATAAGAAGTCATAGGAAACATTTCTGCGATAAGACGCCAAACATAGTGAAAAAATTCAATTATAACAACATATAAAAATAAAAAATATTTTAGTACAATATTGCACATGACAACAGGTACCAAAAGAGAAGTACATATGTCACAATTTCACAACGATGAGAAAAAAGCGCTGTTGTCACTCAAGTTCACTATACCTTCGGGAAGTTCATTCCAGTCTCTAATTGTTTTTAAAAAGAAGGAGTTGGCAAAAGTAGTGGTTTTGTACGCGTATTCTTGTATTTTATGTGAGTGTCATGCCATTCTTGTTCTTTTTGTATTTCGACCCTCGAATTCCTTTCTCTCCGCACGTTACTGGATCCCCGACTCTCTATAGAACGGTGCAGTGCGGCCAATTCTACTGCTGGTGACCGCCTATTGGGAGCCTCTATTTATCTAGAGCTACCATGATGAATATAAAACAGCACTTGACAAATGGCATAAAAGAAGCGACGCACGCGCACGTGCGCATTGGCTTAGCGTAAATTAGGAGGGGGGGGGGGGGGTGCCAGGAGGGTCCGGACCTCCCTTCTGTTCGGACTCTAGGGGACACACCTTGAAATGTCTCTGCTTGAGATTTAGCTTTTGAACATCTTATATCTGAACTACTTCACAGTTAAGTGTCACACATCCAACTTTTATAAAGGCTGATAATTTTTAGCACGTACCTGTACTCAAAACCCTTCAGCCGTGTAAGACCGCAGAAATTGCAAAAGTCACTCGGCCAGTTCAAAGAAGAATGATTAGAAAAATGTTCGAGCTTGGACCCCATGGTCTTTTTTTTCGAAAAAATAATTTAATTCTCATGCAAAAAATACATGTTTCCAAAACAACGTACCTGTCATGGTATATGGTATATGGTGTGTGCCCTCTAGTGATTTTTTGGGTTCACGCCACTGCACACACGTCCCGTACGTGTGTTTTTTCGTGTCGTGTGTTAAGCTCCGCTTTATTTTCATCGTGGAAACCTACCAATTCGTCCAATCTATTTGACTTCTTTTTCTAGAGTAGTGCTTACTTCGCGGTTGCCGGCACTTTTCGTTTCTCGCGCCTGTTGGCCCAGAGTGAGTTTCTGAATAAGTGCATGCCATTCTGTTTCGTTTTTACGGCTCGTGATTGGCTCACGATAGATCCAGTCACCGACGACACTGCGGTATTGCACTATTTTCAGTGAACTCTCATACGTACCATCGCTAGAAGACAATCCTATGATTCCCACGCTAAGGCTTACTGGCGAGTTCCACAACAAACGGTAAGATCACAAAGGCGAGCGCCCGGAATTCGAAACGGCTGCGTCACTGTAGTCGTTGCGCACCGGGAAACTACAATGAAAAGGATTAGTCCAGGTTAGTGATTTCACGATCGTTCGCTACTTTGAGCCGGTAACCCCGTGTAGCTTCATTCCTTTGTTTTTGCCACTGTGGCTGGGGCTTCTTTCTGCGAGTTCATACGTGAGAGCAACAAGACAAGATCAAACTTGTAATTTTCCCATGCCGTCACGCTTGGTAATCTTGTAATGACTTTATGATGATCTTCGAAAGCCGTGCTGAGACAATTTGTCTACAAGTCAAGTGCGTGATTAAGCACTCTAATGCGGCAGACATGAATACCGAGCAGCCGTAGTCAGCCCATTGGCATTTAAAATTCCAAGCACGCGGTTCTACCTGACCTACACAGTAATGCATCCGAACTTATGCAAGTATTTGTTTCTACTGTTGTTGCTGTACTTGCTGCTGTTTTTGTTGTTGTTATGAACCACATAATTACTGTAGTATCCAAGTGTATGAACCCCGGTGAGATATGTTTAAGGCAACTTATGGTGTTTGTGTGGGTGCGTTTACTGACGATCACGTTTTCTTTGATATATCATCTTGGCCATACAGCATTAATTTACGCTCCATCAAAGCAGCAGCGCGCCTAACGTAAACACCGCATTATTAAATGGTGACTCCTGTTGATTCTGGTCCGATTCTCCCATTTATTTGGATATGAATGTCGTCTTAACCACTTGATTTATAGGAAGGTAGCTGCTGCGGAGGACGCTTTTGTTTACTATTCAGTGGTCTTTAGTAACCACTCGTTTGTTTCAAGACGTTCAAGAACTGGCAAAAAAAATACTGAGAATCTTCAGATACGTTCACCGCAAGTTCAAGCCTTTGCAGAATACTCAGCATTGAACACTTTGCATTATTCATCCTTGTACATGGCTTTCCCTTTTGATCAGCGCATACCAGAGAGAGAGAGAGAGAAAGAGAGATGAAGCGATTTGTTAAAAGCAGTTTGTTCAGACAACGAATATTTACCTTTTTTTTTATGCTGATCGATCAATATGCAGTGTTTAACGTCTCAGAACCACCATATGATTATGAGAAACACCGTAGTGGAGGACTCCGGAAATTTCGACCACCTAGAGTTCTTTCACATGCACCCAAATCTGAGCACACGGGCCCGCAACATTTGCGCCTTCATCGAAAATGCAGTGTCGCAGCCGGGATTTGATCCTGCGACCTGCGGGTCAGCAGCCGAGTAGCTTAGTCACTAGACCACCACGGCGGGCCGGCTTTTTGTTCTGGAGGTAGATGAGAGCAGGGGATAAAAAGACCCCAGAAGATTGTGGGCAGAACTTTGGATTTGCAGAAGAAAGGAATCTGTACTTGTTCGTGTGTGACGCCTATTCTGCGTGAAATTGACCTGGCTAATTTTGACCGAATCCTTCAGCAAAAAATGAACCATTTATATGTTTTAAATGTATACAGACATGTCAATGGTTTTATTGTTTTTACCGCGGTCCCCTTCAATGTGAGCTATGCAGAAGCCGCTGACAGTGTCTTTAGAATTCGTGCACTGTTCACCCTCATTATCATTCACAACAGAACTTTCTGACAACGACACTCTTGCCTTTTTTTTTAGATTTAGCCCTTTTCTTGAACTGAGACGACCAGATTTGCTATGAATGTAAATCGCGGTCAAAGAAAGCCATTTTACCCTTCGACTCGTCTCATACCGGACTTGTCAAAAGGGGGATTGATGTCTCATGCCGCAACTCGGCTCTGACCAAGTTATGCCCTCTTAAGGTTCCCCATAGCTTCGACCACCACATTCCACGCCTTTTAGTATCGGGTTTCTCTACCCCCTTGCTTGTTGCCATGGAGTCCTGTCTTCTAAAGCATATTGGAGCTCCACCCTGCGTTTCACCAAGGCACAGGTACCACAAGTATGTTATCCCGCTATACTTTCACACCGTTTTTCAGAATCCTTAGAGAATAAGATGAAAAAATGGCGCGAGCCACGTCTTCCTGGCACTCCTTTCACGCTTGTGTCCTCTTATCGGGGATTAAAACAGAGAAAACAGCGTACCGAAAAAAACATAAGCAGCCATTTGTTCTCTACGCTACGGAAGTGGTCCACAAGATTCCACTCAGTTGTGGAAAAGCTTGCATCGGTAAAACGGTCCGATGTCTTAACGATAGATAGAGGCAGCACTCGGCTAATCGATGAAGGCTCAAAATGACGGGACGCACCCTCCTGTGCATTGCAGGAAGTACGTACGGTTGCGCAACACTCTTCGAGGAGGCTGACGTCGTCAGTCGAGTGAAGAGTAGGCGTGAAAAAGAGACTCCAGAAGCGGGGGCCAAATCAAGATTGCGGTGAATGCGTGCATTGCTGCGCACTCGGTGCACTCGATGATCAAAGAGACAGAATTTCTTCGCAGCAGTTCAACAATTCAATGTACTCCCTTTCAAGATATCTTGGATTGTTACCGGGTTTGCGGGCGATATAAAAAAAACCCATTTTGTGACAGTGTCTGTTGTCAACGCGCCTGCGTATAAGCTTTCTTGGCGTGAAGCTTTTTTTTTTTCGAATGAATTCAGTTACAGCTGAGCGTCTGCTCTATGGTGTGTCCTTTTCTATATACGAAATCTACTATAGGGACCTTGCATGAACGGTGGCCACGCTATACACTTTGGGTAGGCAGCCA